GATCTCAGCTCACTATAGCCTCCACCTACTGGGTCAAGCCTCCCGAGTAGCCATAACTACAGGTGCTTGCCACCACACCCAGGTAACTTTTATATTTTTAGTAGAGATGGAGTTTCACCATGTTGGCCAGGCTGGTCTCGAACTCCTGACCTCAGGTGATCCACTTGCCTCAGCCTCTCAAAGTGTTGGGATTACAGGCATGAGCCACTGCCCTGGCCTGCTCCATTGTTTTTGACAAATGCGTAATGTCATGTGTCCACCATTACAATATCATACAGAATAGTTTCACTTCCTTGAAAATTCCGTGTGCTCCACCTATTCATCTCTCCTTCCTTCTCCCAAATCTCTGGCAACCACTCATCTGTTTACTGTCTCTAGAGTTTTGCCTTTTCCAGAATGTCATATAGTTAAACAATACAGTATGTAGCCTTTTCAGACTGACTTCTTTCACCTAGGAATCTGCATTGAAGTTTCTTCCATGTCTTTTTGTGGCCTGATAACTCAGTTCTTTTTCTTTTTAGTGCTAAATAATATTCTATCATATGGAAGGACCATAGTTCCTTTATCCACTCACTTACAGAAGGACATCTTGGTTTTGGTAGTTATGAATAAAGTTATATTGCTTCCAGAAACATTCATGTGCAGGTTTTGTGTGAACAAAAGTTTTCAGTTTATTTGGGTAAATACCAAGTAATGCAATTGCTGAATCATATGGGAAGAGTATGTTTAGTTTTGTAAAAAACTGCCTGTCTTCCAAAGTGGCTGTAGCATTTTGCATTCCCACCAGCAATGAATGAGCGTTCCCACTGCTCCACATCCTTGCCAGCATTTGGCAGCCTGTTTTTTTTCTTTCTTAAACAGAGCTACATTACTGTTAATTTGTACTGAGTTTACTGCCCATCAGGATCCCTTAGACATTTTTATATGACTTAGCTGCTGAGTCACGTTCTCTTTCTCTCAAACTTGTGCAGTTATTCTTTGGACTTTCCTTAGTGGTCTTTCTTTTCTTTTGTGCCTCTCCAGATGCCCTGGGCTTGGTCTCTTTTACTTATCAGGTGCATTCATAAGCCAACTGCTTATTGACTGTATTACTGTTAAGGACTCACACTTAGATTCTTCCCCAGGGGATTGCCTTTGGGAGACTGAAGGGTGCCTCTCCCGGAGGTGCCTGGGAATTGACATTCATCTCCTGATCAGATGGTCTGTAGACAATAACTGACTGGTATGGAGGTAGAGGAACTGAGCTCCCTTGCCCCTAGGAGGGACAAATGCTGTTATGGAAGTTATATATTCCAGAGCTCCCTGGGAGATCAGGCAGACACCAGGGTACACCTAAAAACATATTCTAGCTTAGCTTCTTCCCCTTCTCTATCTTCATCTCTCACTCCCTACAGGTTTCTCCTGAGGGCACAACCTTATGCAATTGTAGATTACTTGCACATGAATCTCTAACTCAGGCTCTGTTGCTAGGGAATCTGACCTAATTTTATGACTTCTTTCGATTATAGCACACAACTGTTTCTAATATTTTTGACTATTATAACCATTCTTTTCAAAAGTACTAATGACCCTACTTCAAATAGGTTATTTTGAATTGCTTATGCATTGTTGCTTGTATTTATTGAATCTCTAAGGGCAAGACTTTTTCAGGAAAAGAATTACCTTTTCAATATTATGACAAATGTCAATGGGAAAATCAGATCAAAATGATAAAACTTTATGGCTAAGTAAACATGCATGGAATCGATCCGTTCCATTAGGTGAGGATTACTTCCATTGCATTTACAAATGTCACATCTCTCACTGAGCTGTTGACAGTCGTGCCATTTTAGGAAGACATTCTATTTCAGTCTCATGAGTGTCAGGATTTATGTGCAAGAGGTACCTTTTACTCTTTAAAAATTACCATTTGGTTTTGTCTGAATGATGCCTACCCTTTACTTTTATTTTTGGTGCTGGACACCTACTTGGGCAAAAAGCCTGGGTCTTCAATGAAAGGCCCATTTCTGTGTCCCAGTGTTATGTCTTTGGGCACAGCCTTGTATCAAGGGTAAAAGTCTCTGAGAAAGTTGCCAGCAGCACTCCTGGTGGCCCTGGATCCTCACATATGGAAGTTATTGCCTAAAATGCATCACCTGATCAGAATGACAAATCACAAGATGAGAAGTTGTCACTGTGAGGTAGCATGACCCCAAGGCAGCCGCAAGGGGTTGGAGGTAACATGCAGGTCTGCAACCACCCAGCTCACTCAAGGAAGACTGAAAAAAATCAATGTCATCAAGACCCGAAGAGAACATGTTTCTAAAAAATTCTCTTGCATTGTGTCTAAATATCAAGTCATTAGATTCAATGTGAAGCCAGCAGTACGGGAAGACATAAAAAACTGTAGAGGATGATAGGATTTTGATTTTGATATGTTCAAGAAAATGGTCATAATAATTGGTTGTCTGGAGGATGTGAAGAGTTGTAACACAATTAAAGACAATAAGAAAAAGCACCAACCAAAACAAAAAGGAAAACCAAAATGTGACTGAGAATGTAGCTAGTTCTTTTGGGAGATTTTCTAGTCTTCACATCGATGCTTTAAAAGACTCTCACCCAAAGAATTCTTAGGGTGGGAGATCACTGATAAAACTTTCATCAAACATGCCAGCATGCATGCAGAAGAGTAACAAATCATTAAATTCTTGAGCAAGTGAAGGTATTGCCCAGAAACCCACTGCCAAAGCAGAGAGTGAAAAATAATCAAAAACATTTTTAAACAAAGAAAATTGATATCCTTTTTGAGTGAGATCAGGCATGGAAAATAGGTTTTGTTTCATGGATTACCTCTGACCAAATGATAATTCTTGCCTGGAGCTCTGTTGAGGAAGATTCTGAGACTAGATCTGGGTTGATTGAAAAAGAATGCTGATATGGATTAATAATGTCTGTCACAAGTGCAAGAGGGGTAACATGTACTATATTTTTGCCATTTGTGTGAGAAATACCATGAGGTGGATAAGCTCAGATTCCATGAAGAGTAGAACTGAACTGGGTGTCAAGAGACCAGATTCAAGTACTGTGTCCTCTATTAGCTAGTAGTTTGATTTTGATCAAATGATTTCAGCCATCTGCACACTGGTTTCCTTTTCAGGACAATGAAGTTTCTATCTTGGATGGTCTGTCATGACCCTTTAAATTCTAAAATTCTGTGATCGATTAATAGTCAAACTCCAAATGCATTATTATGGAGTACTCAGGGATATGTCTTAGTTTGAGTGCCTCCTGAAGAGGACCCTAAGACAGGATTCAAGTGCAACTTATTTGACTAAGAAAGTAAAGGAAATAGGCTGGATGCAGTGGCTCATGCCTGTAATCCCAGCACTTTGGGAGGCGGAGGCGGGTAGATCACTTGAGGTCAGGAGTTTGAGACCAGCCTGGTCAACATGGTGAAACTCTGTCTCTACTAAAAATACAAACATACAGAAATTAGGGCTGGGTGTGGTGACTCACACCTGTAATCCCAGCACTTTGGGAGGCTGAGGAGGGCAGATCATGAGGTCAGGAGTTCGAGACCAGCCTGGCCAACAATTAAAAAGATAATTTTTTGTATCTTTGCAAAGATACAAAAATTAGCCGGGTGTGGTGGCAGGTGCCTGTAATCCCAGCTACTCGGGAGGTTGAGGCAGGAGAATCGCTTGAACCCGGGAGCAGAGGTTGCAGTGAGCCGAATTCCTGCCATTGCACTCCAGCCTGGGTGATAGTGCGAGACTCTGTTTCAAAAAGAAAAAAAAAAAAAATACAGAAATTATCCGGGTGTAGTGGTGCATGCCTGTAATCCCAGTTACTCGGGAGGCTGAGGCAGGAGAATCGCTTGAACCCGGGAGGCGGAGGTTGCAGTGAGTCGAGATCGTGCCACTGCACTCCAGCCTGGGTGACAGTGCGAGACTCTGTTTCAAAAATAAAATAAAAAAAAAAAAATACAGAAATTAGCAGGGTGTTGTGGTGCATGCCTGTAATCCCAGTTACTTGGGAGGCTGAGGCAGGAGAATCACTTGAACCTGGGAGGCGGAAGTTGCAGTGAGCCTAGATCACGCCACTGTACTCCAGCCTGGGTGACAGAACAACACTCCGTCTCAGAACAAAAAAAGAAAGAAAGTAAAGGAAACCGATGGGGCACATCATCAAATCAGCTCCCACTTAATCCCACTAGGGAAACTCACAGTGAATCTCTCTGGGAGGCAAGGTTGCTGCTGTATATTTATACCAGCTCCTGTCAACCACTGGATGAGGGCTGGTGGTGGGGGATTGTGGAGGGGGGTTCAATATACCTGCACTTCCTCTCTGCTACACCAGCAAGCCAAATGAGGTCTGTCACCAAAGAAAGTCCCCAGGCAAGAAATACAGTTGGAAATATATCCAGGGTGCATTTAAACAGTAAAGGCTGGGGAATACAGACAGGGTTGGCTATGCTAGGATTCTTGGGGGGATAAGTAAAAAAGCTCACTGGCATTTGGGATATTAAATACAATTGATATTCAAACATTATAATAATAAACTATCTGCTTTTAAATCCCAGAGCTGAGTTATGAGTTTAGAGAATTCTGTGAAATGTAATAGTTATTTTCCATACGAACACCTATAAGGAAAGTTTATTTATTTATTTTTCATTTTTTTGAGACAGGTCCTCACTTTATTACCCAGGCTGGAATGCAGTGGTGCCATAATGGCTTACCGCCACCTTGATCTCCTGGGCTCAAGCAATCCTCCTATCTCAGCCTCCTGAGTAGTGGGGACTACAGGCACATGCCACTGAGCCTGGCTAATTTTTTAAATTTATTTTTTGTAGAGATAGGGTCTCAATATGTTGCCCAGGCTGTTCTTGAACTCCTGGGCTCAAGTGATTCTCCCACCTAGTCTTCCAAAGTGCTGGGATTACAGACCTGAGCCACTGCACCTGGCCTAAGGGAAGTCTTGAAATTGGCATTGCTGGTAATGCTTTACTGTTTTCTCCACAGTCCAGAGACAAGTTCAGCAAGAAAGATTGCCTTTCAATCAGGAATGTTGTAGCTTCAATCCAAACCAAAGAAGGTCTGAATCTCAAGTTGATAAGTGGAGATGTTCTATACGACTGGGTAGGTGATGCCATTTAATAAATCTACCAAGGAACAATGGGATCTAATTAACTTGGTCTGTGACTTGTTCCATGATTTAACTTGTTCTTTGTCTTAATCAAAGATTAAAGATATCAAAGATAAATTTGAGAAGTTAAACCCACTTAAAGTTTATGCAGAAATATACTTACCATCCCCTATATTCTTCCACATGTACTCATGTGGAGGGGTTCAAGTTTAACCACAAACAAGAGTTTGCAGATCCATCTCTTATTTCTCTGTAACTGATCTTGACTTACTCTCAACCCAGTTCTATTTTTCTCTCCTGCGCCAGTCAGCATTATTGAGGAAGATATGTGTACACCACAGTATAGAATCACCCTTCACAAACACATCTTTGCTTCTGCCTGAGCACTTTGCAGAAGCACGGGAAGAACGAGGAGGGATAAAGGTTACCAGAAGAGGTGCTAAATCCTCAGCCTGGCTGCTGCCTATCCCTCCTCTCCTACTGCTTCCTCTTCCTTGGAATCACCAATTAACAGAAGATTCAGGCCCTATAATCCTCCTATAGTTGACATCCATCATGCTCAATCCTGGCTGCAGATCATAATCATCTGGGGGACCTTTTAAAAATACAGACTCCCAGGCCTCACCCCTAGAGATCCTGACTTTAATTGGTCAGGGATGTGGTGTAGGTGACAATAGTTTTTGAAAGCATTCTAAGTGATTATCTTATGCAGCTAGGGCTGAGAATCACTGGTCCTAAGACCATTCTTAGATGCTTCTTAGAATTCTATAGCCCCACCATTTGGACACCTGATGTTTACCTTCAGATGGCAGACATTCAGGACTAACAGAAAGAGAACTCTGCTGAGAAACTGGGAGACTCTTCTGGATTAGGAGCCACTGGAAATATTCTTTGCATTTGCTGTAGTTAATGGGATGGCAGAGGGGAGGCAACCAGCTGCTTTCTTCATGTTCTCTAGAGTTTTTAGAGTCCTCTGTCACGTGGGTTCAGGACTTTGTCCTCAAATCAGCACGTTTAGAAGTTGCATCTTATCATTTTACACAGAATTGATCTGACTCGCACTAATCAAACTCAAGAGACTTACTTATAAAACTGGAATTGTAATTATTTTGTTTGCAATGAGAAAGATAATTGCCATGGCTACTGGTAATAGTGAGCTCTGCAACTGAGTATTATGAGAGTGATTGGGGAGTAATATGACCAGAAGAACTGGATGATATAAAAGTACAGTAAATTTATTTTTCACTCTAGGTGTAGGCATAGTGTGGTGAGTAAGTAGACGAACTCTAAAGTCCGTTCTGGCAGGGTTCAAATACTGCTCCACCACTCAACAGCCACTGATCTTGGTCAATATCCATCTTATGTCTCAGAGTTCTTATCTATAAATATGGATGATGATGATATGAAGGTTGTTATGAGGCTTAAAATGAAATAACTCATATAAAGCACTTATCCCCTGCCTTGCACGTAGAAAGGCCTCAAAAAAATGATAGCTATTATCATTATCCCCTTATGATGGTCCACTTTATACTTTACCTTACTCAATTAGTACTACAACCTAATTAAGATATATATGACTTGCCCACATTTTATAGATAAAGAAACCAAGGTCTTTTCACTATGCAGTCCACCGAGTTGATTATAAATTTCATGTCAACTCATATTGGGATTTACCTATTCTTACCATTGGGTGGTGCTGTATAAACTTTGGAATTCACTTTATCTTTCTTCTCTGAATTCTTTCTCCTATCCAGTTAGTTTCCAAACCCTAATAAGCCCTCTTTCAAAATATCTCATGTGCATGCCTTTCCTTTTCATTGCTATTGTCTACAATACACATTTCAGTACACACCACTCCCAACCCCCAATCACACCTCAATACTACCGTGACCTCCTTGTCACTCTTTAATCTGTCTTCCACATTGTTGTTTGATATATATTCCAAAAACATTATTTCAGCAGGTACTTCTCTGCACATACATCTTTGGTGTCTTCCTTCTACCTATAGGGCAAAGTCCAAAAAAGTGTGACTTTCCAAGTACTCCATCGTCTGGCCCTAAATCTCTTCCCAGCCCCTCTTCTCACTATTGAACCTCTGCTTCAGCTAAATTTGAACTACTTTCTGATCTTTCACAATCCTATGCTTTCTTTTTTTCTTTTTCTTTTCTTTTCTTTTCTTTTTTTTTTTTTGAGACTGAGTCTCGCTCTGTCGCCGAGGCTGGAGTACAGTGGTGTGATCTCGGCTCACTAAAACCTCCGCCTCCTGGGTTCAAGTGATTCTCCTGCCTCAGCCTCCCAAGTAGCTGGGATTACAGGCACCCACCACCACGCCCAGCTAATTTTTGTATTTTTAGTGAAGACCAGGTTTTACCATGTTGGCCAGACTGGTCTCGAACTCCTGACCTCATGTGATCTGCCTGCCTTGGCCTCCCAAAGTGCTGGGATGACAGGTGTGAGCCACCACACCCGGTCACAATCCTATTCCACACACCTTGAATGCCTTGCTGCCTTCTTTCTACCTGACTCAATTACAGCCATTCTTCAAGGCCTATCTCAAATTCTTATCCCCTTTAAAAAGTCTTCACTCACTATTCCAATCTAAATATTTTCCTATCTTTTTTGAAATTCTATACCAACTAATATTTGTATATTTAACCATGTGTTTTGATTATTTTGAATTGATTTAAACGTTATGACAAGTTACTTTTTCCATTGTTCGTTTTTTCCAGATAGAGTCTGACCTTGTCACCTAGGCTGGAGTGCAGTGGCACGTCACGGTTCACTGCAGTCTCAGTGTCCTAGGCTCAAGCAATCCTCCCACCTCAGTTTTCCAAGTAGCTGGGAATACAGGCCACTAGCTCATTTTCCTCTTTTTTTAATTGTAGAGACAAGGTCTCACTGTGTTGCTCAGGCTGGTCTTGACCTCCTGGGTTCAAGCAATCCTCCTGCCTCGTCCTCCCAAAATGCTGGGATTACAGGCGTCAACCACTACGCCTGGCCTATTTTTTTACATGTTAATATATTGCTTCCCCAAACTGTGTAGGAATCAGTAAACAGAGAGTGAAACTGCAAGTGGGAGTGAGGAGAACATGGGCTAGATCAATTTTGTTTCGTTTTGTTTTGTTTCTTGGATGGCTTGCTCATTCTTGTCTCTGCAGGGGGCTTCTCGGATCTTGACATTGGTTTATGCTAACTTCATATAATAGCTCATATGCTAACTAACATTATATAAGTGGACCCAAGAAAGCTAATTATTAAGTTGAGAAATATAACCTATTATATGTCTCAGAGACATAGACATCTTTTAATTTACCATGAAGAAGAGTCCCCAAAGAACCAGGACAACCAAAATCCACATGATCAGGCTGGGCTCATTCCAGTAATCCAAACGCTTTGGGAGGCCAAGGTGGGCAGGTCACTTGAGGTCAGGAGTTCAAGACCAGCCTGGTCAACATGGCGAAACCCCATCTCTACTAATAATACAAATATCAGCCAGGCATGCTGGCACATGCCTGTTATCCCCACTACTTGGGAGGCTGAGGCATGAGAATTGCTTGAACCTGGGAGGTAGAGGCTGCAGTGAGCCAAGATCATGCCACTGCACTCCAGCCTGGGGAACAGATCGAAACTGTGTCTCAAAAAAGTAAATAAATAAACAAATAAAAATTAAAATTAAAAAAAAGCCACATCATGAGAGTGTTTGTCTCCTCCTACTCCCAAATTACCAGGGAATCAGAAGGTTTCTGGTGAACACAAAATCTGACTAATAGGAGTTACGGGCTGAATATGTAACATCTCATAGCATTAGGCTATGACCCTCATTTCACCAAATGAACAGCCTTAGCATTGACATTGGAGAACTTGATATCCCTGGACAGGCTAGAATGGATACTGCCTACCCTCACCTTAGTGATTTTCCTTTGCCAAGGTGTTCAGGGTCGACCATACCCTCCTTCACATCGACCTAGTCTTTCTTTTGGTATATTGTTAAATTCAAAATAAATATTCTCAGTTCCTGCCAGCCTAAGAGCAGTTCTTTCTCCCTTCCCGTCTCTCTGTCTCAGTCTTTCTGTGTTTTTGTTTCTCTCTGCCTCTGTCTCTGTTTTTCACTTTCACTTTTCTTCTTTCTCCATTTCTCTCTCTCAGTCTTTGACTCTCTGCCTCTGGTCTCTGACTCATTTTCATAGCTCTACTCTGACTCATTATGTTTGATTTCACAGCAGTGGTAAATATATTTCCTTAATGTCTAAGTTTTGGAAATGACCTCATCATGGTGTTTCAGTGCTAACAATAGACTGTAAGCTCCTCGAGGGTGGGGATGACATGTTAGTATGACAGGCAAAACATATCCGTACATTAGCCCATAATACTCAGTAAATTTACAGGTGCTCAGTCATTATGTATTATTGACTCAATCTCTAACTGTTGCTATTTTCGTTAAGGCTGATGTCATTGTCAACACTGTTCCCATGAATCTTCAGCTTGGAGGAGGACCACTATCTCGGGCACTTTTGCAGAAAGCTGGTCCCATGCTCCAGAAAGAGTTAGATGACAGCAGGCGGGAAACAGAGGAAAAAGTGGGTAACATATTCATGACAAGTGGCTGCAATCTGGACTGCAAAGCTGTGCTCCATGCCGTGGCTCCAGATTGGAATAATGGAGCGGGGACTTCTTGGCAGGTAGGGAACGCTCTTAGTTCTCCACCTCACTTGGTAGCTTTGGGAATCTTCTTCTGGTGTGGTGTAGATCTGTGCTGAAGGGAGGCAATTTTGCCCTACAGAGGACAGTTGGGTTGTTACAACTGCTACTGGCATCTAGTGAGTAGAAGCGAGGGATGCTGCCAAATATCCTATGATGCACACACCAGTCCCCACAACAAAGAAATGTCTGCCCTAGGCTGTGAAACCCTGTATTGATTGAACCCTGTCTGTCTATTGCAATCTTTATTACATTCCATGGAGAATCCATCACAACTACCAGTTATTTCCGAGTAATTGACCCTTGGAAGTAGTAACAGTCACTGGGATTCTACAGGAGGGGTGTCTAAGATGTAATGTAATAATCTTTCAGTATAGCAAAGAGGTGTGCCCAGCACTGTGGTGAAGAATAAAAAAGAGTCAGTGCCCTTTCGATAACATCATTCCCACCTCCACTCCCACTTTAATTTCCCAACTTTTTTTCAGAATATAAAAAAGTAATACAATTACATTGTGGAAAATATAGAAAAGTACAAAAAGACAATAAAAATAATAATCCAACCATCAAGAGATAACTGTTTTCTTCTTCTTTTTGAGACAGAGTTTTGCTCTGTCACCCAGGCTGGAGTGCAGTGGCGCCATCTCAGCTCATTGCAACTTCCGCTCTGCCTCCTGGGTTCAAGTGATTCTCCTGCCTCAGCCTCCTGAGTAGCTGGGATTACAGGCACCCACCACCAGGCCTAGCTAATTTTTGTATTTTTAGTAGAGACGGGGTTTCACTGTGTTAGCCAGGCTGGTCTCAAACTCCTGACCTCAAGTGATCCACCCGCCTCGACCTCCCAAAGTGCCGGGATTACAGGCATGAGCTACTACTGTGCCTGGCCTTAAGAGGTAACTTTAGTTAACATTTTACTATATTTCCTTCAAGTCAACTTTATGACTTCATGCATATTTATTTATTTTTTGAGATGGAGTTTTGCTCTTGTCACCCAGGCTGGAGTGCAATGGCACGATCTTGGTTCACTGCAGCCTCTGCCTCCCGGGTTCTTGCAGTTCTCCTGCCTCAGCCTCCCAAGTAGCTAGGATTATAGGCATGCGCCCCTACACCTGGCTAATTTTGTATTTGTAGTAGAGATGGGGTTTCTCCATGCTGGTCAGGCTGGTCTTGAACTCCTGACCTCAGGTGATCTGCCTGCTTCATCCTCCCAAAGTGTTGGGATTACAGGCGTGAGCCACTGCAACTGGACAGCATATTTATTTCTTAGTTGAGATTCTCTCTCTCTCTCTTTTTTTGTTTTTTAATTGAAACAGGGTCTCACTCTGTCGCCCAGGCTGGAGTGCAGTGGTGCAATCTTACCTCACTGCAACCTCTGCCTCCTGGGCTCAGGTGATCCTCCTACCTCAGCCTCCCCAGTAGCTGGGACAACAGGCACACACCACCATCCCTGGCTAATTTTTGTGTTTTTGTAAAGATGGGGTTTCACCATGTTGCCCAGGCTGGTCTTGAACTCAAGGGCCCAAGCTATCTGCCCACCACAGCCCCCCAAAGTGTTGGGATTATAGGTGTGAACCACCGTGTTAGGCCCAATATTATCTTTTTTTTCTTCTTCTTCTTTTGGCCCAATATTCTCTTTAAACATTTTTAAATACCGTTTTTTGTTTTTGTTTTTGAGACGGAGTCTTGCTCTGTCACCCAGGCTAGAGCTGGAGTACAGTGGCGTGATCTCGGCTCACTGCCAGCTCTGCCTGCCAGGTTCACGCCCATTCTCCTGCCTCAGCCTCCCAAGTAACTGGGACTACAGGCACATGCCACCAAGCCTGGCTAATTTTGTTTTTGTATTTTTAGTAGAGACGGGGTTTCACCATGTTAGCGAGGATGGTCTCGATCTCCTGACCTCGTGATCTGCCTGCCTCAGCCTCCCAAAGTGCTGGGAGCCACTGCACCCGCCACCGCACCCGGCCAATACAGTTTTTGTTTTTGTTTTTTTTAAAAAAAAACTTAACATAAATACTGCATGTTGTTAAAGATTCTTCATAAACACCACTTTTAGTTGCATTGAGGTACAATTTTATGCAGCCATTCCCACACTGTGGACCCGCCTCTCCTGAATGAGTGTGACTCTCTCTGGAAAGTACTCTGCCCTGTTTTTGTTTCCTCTTTCTGACTTCTCAGACCCTGACTAAGCCAACAATAGCAGAGAGGTCCTTGTCAGAGTTGCTGGGACCACAACTCTTTGTTTTCCACCAACTTAAGCCCTAACTTATGTAAATGTACTTTGCACATTTCAGATCATGGCAAATATAGTCAAGAAATGTTTGACAACTGTAGAAGTGCTATCTTTCTCATCAATCACATTTCCCATGATTGGAACAGGCAATTTGCGGTTTCCCAAAGCTGTTTTTGCTAAACTAATCCTTTCAGAAGTGTTCGAATACAGTAGCAGCGCAAGGCCGATAACTAAACCTTTACAAGAAGTCCACTTTCTGGTATATACAAATGACGATGAAGGCCTTCAGGTATGTTTACATGTCCCATCTGCTTAATTCTGGCAAGTGAACCCAAGAGCATTCAGATGTTTTTATAGATCTAGGAATAACTGTGTTTTCTACTCCTGTGCCCATAAGTGATAGTTGCTAATGGGAGGTTGCCATATGACTTAACTATGAGCCAACACTGATAACTCATGTTCCTAGACAGTTCATCAACAGACAAGCTAATTGATAATAAATACATTCTTAGAAAGAAGTGGAAAGTTATTGGCATAAAAACGGCCTTGACATTTTAACACTGACTATATGAAAGCTAAGTCATGGCTTTATCTATGGGGAAAGGGCAGAATAAGAGAAGCCTCAAAGATTTAGTTATTTGGATAGAATAGACCAGTCTATACAAGTCTGTGAGTGTCTACGATCTAGAAATAGCAGCACCATATTCAGCAGTGGAGAAGCAGTCAAAGCACACTAAGTAGTTCCCACTGACATTAGAAGAATGGTATACCTAGGTTTAATCTCAGTTTTACCATTTAAAAGTTGGGTGACATACCTCTCTGAATCTCAGCTTTTTTTTTTTTTTTTTTTTTTTTTCCCAGACAGAGCCTTGCTCTGTTACCCAGGCTGGAGTGCAGTGGCACCATCTCGGCTCACTGCAGCCTCCGCCTCCTGGATTCAAGCAATCCTCCCATCTCAGCCTCCCTCGTAGCTGGGATTACAGGCATGTGCTACCACGCTTGGCTAATTTTTGTATTATTAGTAGAGACGGAGTTTCTCCATGTTGGCCAGGCTGGTCCTGACCTCAGGTGATCCACCCACCTTGGCCTCCTGAAGTGCTAGGATTACAGGCGTGAGCCACGGCGCCCAGCCTGAATCTCAGTTTTATCAAGTGTAAGATAAGTGTGATAATAACACCTTTTGGAGTTGTTCTAACTATTAAAAGGGGTGTATTTGAAGTGTTTTGCATGATATCTAGCACATAGAAAACCCCCAAAACTGGTTGTAGTCATTACCTGACTTTAAGGACTGACAGGAAATTGCTACAACTTACTAACATCACCACTTAAACAGGATCAAAGATAATTTTGTTTTTTAAGTTCTTAGTTATTCTTACCCATTCTGGATGGAAGTGTGGTCTTTCCAGAGATGTTTCCCAAAATTCCCCAGAAACACTCCAAAGTATTGCATGATGTAGTTCGTAAGTAAATTTATCCATTGGAAATAATAATAACAGTTTAAAAAATAACATTTAGCCCCAAAGGTTCTTAGTTTTCTTCCCCCAGTAAATATAAAATATCCAGAGACATATTTTCTTGCTCAAAGATAAACTGGGGTAAATTATTATTAGCAAAATATTCATGATATATGTGTCCTTGTTGAGTTCATAATAACATCTGCCCTTTACTGGGGTGACATCTCCAGTAGCAATCTGGAAAGTAACTGCCCCAAATTTCATTGTTAACCAAGAATTAGAAACATGGACTGGTACAGGCTCATGCCTGTAGTCCCAGCACTTTGGAAGGCTGAGGCAGGGGGATTGCTTGAGCCCAGGAGTTCAAAACCAGCCTGGGCAACATGGCAAAACCTCATCTCTGCAAAAAATACAAAACATTAGCCAGGCATGGTGGTGCACATCTGTAGTCCTAGCTACTTGGGAGGCTGAGGTGGGAGGATCAGTTGAGTCCAGGGAGTTGAGGCTGCAGTGAGCCAAGATCACGCCACTGTAGTCCAGCCTGGGCAACAGAATGAGACCCTGTCCAAAAAGAAAAAGAAAAGAAAAGAGAGAGAGAGAGAGAGAGAAAAAAAGAAAAAGAGAGAGAGAGAGAGAGAGAGAAAGAGAAAGAGAGAGAAAAGGAAAGAGAAAGAAAGAAAGAAAGAAAGAAAGAAAGAAAAAGAAAGAAAGAAAGAAAGAAAGAAAGAAAGAAAGAAAGAAAGAAAGAAAGGAAGGAAGGAAGGAAGGAAGGAAGGAAGGAAGGAAGGAAGGAAGGAAGGAAGGAAGGAGAAAGAAAGAGAAAAAAAGTAGAAAGAGTCCCAAAGATACCTGAAAAGAAAGAAAATGGATGAATACAACCCAAGTGAAACTTTATAACTCTACTCTGTCACCCATTGCTCAGTTTTATCACTCACACGACCAAAATGCCTTTTTGTTTTTTCATTTCTAAACAAAACTTCGATGTCTGAGGTTTTCTACTGTGAATTTTCATGTTTTCATTCAGGAGGCTTTGGCTGAACATAAGAGATGAAGCATACTGTATGTGTTTGTTGTTAATCACCCCCAGAATGTACCTAACAGCCAGAGATGCCAAGGAACATTGTTGCCCTGACCCCGCTCACCTACAAATGCTCTACACTGCCCTCAGCACATTGGATGTAGGAGATTAGAATTATGGAGTTTCAAAAGAGGAGGGATAACTGATAGTGGTCACAAAAAAGGCATGTGACTTCCTGCAGAGCCAGAGTCAGCACCCCTGCTGACATACTTGCCTGGACAGTGTTAGATTACTCCCAGGGTAAAGTAAATCAGCACTGCTATTTGCTGAGAAAATTCCTAGGTTGAGCTGCAATCCTTTAAGAAGTCTCTGAAGGAAGAGGAAATCTTTTGAGAACTATTGTTATCAACTCTTTGATATTGGATGATCAATGCTCCAAAGAATTGGATTAATATTTTTACGCAACATTGTTGTGGTCAGTAACTATTTCTATTTCCAGGCATTTTTAGATGAATTCACTAAATGGTCAAGAATAAATCCCGACAAGGCCAGGATTCCCATGGCTGGAGATACCCAAGGTCTGGTAAAGTCATTCTGCCAAGGAAATATTTCCTCTTGCTGAGCAACTCTTCAGTGGTAGTTGAAGTCCAATAGAAGGAGGCAAAGCTAATTCACATGAAGAACAAATCTGTGATAGAGGAGGTGTTACAGCATGTCCCATTGTCTGGGCACACAAAGAAGCAATCGCATATTAACATGAACCAAATCAATGGTAATGAAACCAGTTTGTAAGTAATGGTAATAAAAAATAACGAAACTGTGCCTGGCACACTATACTTTACTGATTCCTGTCTTATATAGTATATTATTTAACATGTACAATGGCCCCATGGCAGGTAGTTCTGTTGCCACTCTGTAAATGTCAAAAGGTAGATCTAAAGGGTTTAAGGGATGAGCTGAAGTGGCATATCTAAGTTGTAAGCCTCAGAGTGTGGAGTGGAGAGTAATATGTCAACAGGTTAAACATAACTTCCTCTGAGCAGTCTTTTTTTTTTTTTTTTGAGATGGAGTCTTGCTCTGTCACCCAGGATGGAGTGCAGTGGCGCGATCTCTGCTCACTACAACCTCTGCCTCCTCGGTTCAAGCCATCCTCTTGCTTCAGTCTCCTGAGTAGCTGGGATGACAGGTGTGCACCACCACACCCAGCTAATTTTTCTGTATTTTTAGTAGACACACGGTTTCACCACATTGGCCAGGCTGGTCTTGAACTCCTGACCTCAAGTGATCCTCCCACCTCAGCCTCCCAAAGTGCTGGGATTTCAGAGTAACCTTTATATTGCTACACCTGTGGTAATAAAAGACCCTCCTAGGAGTGTTGTCTGCAAGAAAGGACAGTGCCCTTTTCACACTGCCTTTTTTTCCTCACTCCTCTCTCTTGACACCACAGTAGCTCTGCCAGTAGACAGACTGGCACAATCGGATATTTCTGCCTCATCCTATGTAACTCAGAAAATGTAGATATGCTTACTGTCACAAAGCATGATTTTCTAATTTCCTTTAAAAAGAATACCTAGCTGTTTAAGAGGCCAGGAGATACGGTAATATTTGGGTTTATGTTGGGGGAAAAGAAAGAGGGCTGGGCTGGGAAGAGAATAGGGCCCCAAGATGAGTGCTCTTCCTCCAGAAGCTGAGCCAGCCCATTCTTTACCTATTTCCTTTCTTTTCAGGTGTGGTCGGGACTGTCTCTAAGCCTTGTTTCACAGCATATGAAATGAAAATTGGTGCAATTACTTTTCAGGTTGCTACTGGAGATATAATCACTGAACAGGTAGATGTTATTGTAAACTCAACAACAAGGACATTTAATCTGAAATCAGGTACTTTATTTAAGCAATACATTGTAATTATTAGTATGACTAATTTCTGGAAGGGAAATTGTGGCTAATATTTGCCCTGAGTATACAGAGAGTGTTGTAGAAAATATGTAGTCCCTGAACTCAGGAAGATGTGGGTTGAATCCCAGCTACGTCACTTACCAATGTATAGCTGTGGACAAGTCACTTAACCTCTCTGAGTGTCAATTTCTTTGCCTGTCAAATGCCTATTTCCCAGGAGAGGATGAGATGGGGTGTCAACTGATATAAAGGTGGAGTGTAACTGATGCATGGTACTTAGTGTCAGCTCTGGACTGTTGAATTTCCACATGTATAGTTTAGTACCTCTAAGTTCCTCTATTTTTATTTTCCTTTTTATGCAACCCAGTTGGCATTCACAACTCACCTCCCATAGTTCTTCTCTTCTCTACATTACACTGACCCAGAAATGAAACACAAACCTTTTTCTTTATTTTCCCTGAAATGTTTGACCACTCGCATCATAGTAACACATTCAGGCATGCCCTCCCCTCATATGTCTATTAATTTATAACTTAAACACATACACTCTTAACCTTTCTGGGTTTTTTGAGGTGGAGTCTCATTCTGTCGCCTAGGCTGGAATGAAGTGGTGTGATCTTGGCTCACTGCCACCTCTGCCTCCCGAGTTCAAGTGATTCTCATGCCTTAGCCTCCTGAGTAGCTGGGACTACAGGCATGCGCCACCACCTAATTTTTTTTGTTGTTGTTGTTAGAGATGGGGTTTCACTATGTTGGCCAGGCTGGTCTCGAACTCCTGACCTCAGGTGATCTGCCTGCCTTGGCCTCCCAAAGTGCTGAGATTACAGGCATGAACCACCGTGCCTAGCCCTCTTAAATTTTTGTAGATTATAAAACGTTGACTTTTAAGTTAAAAGGGTAAGATAAAACATAAATAGAAATAGAATTTAAATATTTTCTAAGTTGAAAAATATTATAGAACTTACCATGCAGAAGTGAATCTGTAGAATATCCATTTAATTCATTGGTCATTCCATTTTTCAGTCATTTAAAATGTAGACATAAATAACATTTGGTTATTTGAAACATGCTAAATTGAACCTATGCATTTATCCCCGTCCCCTTTTGGATTCCATTAATACAACTGTAAAGGAATGAAAAGGATATAAACACACAAGAAAAAAGAACATTGGAAGGAAAACAACTATGAACAGAAGATAACAAATTTTTAGATGATGGGGAGCTGCTAGCCAAGGGTGGTAACTGCCATAGAGTAGAGAAAATTTAGTACCTGCAGGAGAGAAGAGTAGCCCCAGAGATACAGGAATTGGAGGCTGCTGGTATCTGAGAAGGCAGGGGGCAAGTACAGAGATAAAAACAAGGTTGAATGAAATTCAAGATCAGTAGCAATTAGACTACTTGATTGGATCGCCCATCCTATATAGCAGTAAATTTCCTTGCTCTTCCCTGGCCAGAGATGGGAGGTTTATTCTCTAGAGAAACAGAACCAGAGGGATTTTGGACTTAGGGCACCAGGCATAGGTGAGATGAGGAGCTAGACTGAAAACTGTTTAAGAGAACATCTGTGTACCAAACATTGAGTGCCCAGCCCCTCTCCTTGCGTGGATCCCAGAGCAGCAGACAGTAGGTGCTGCCTGCTTGCCTTATACTGAAGGCCGCTGGTCAACACGCCTTCTTGAGTAGAACTTCTAAGCTCACTCTTAAATAGGAATGGACTGGCGAAAATCACTTGATATTTGAAAAAAGTCTTCACAGCAAAGACAGAGACCAGAACAAACAAGTTGAAAAAAGATTTTTTTAAAAAGACACATTTTATAACACACACACACACAACCAAGGATATATAGATATCTTCATAATGATAAAACAACTAACATTCATTCAATATTTTCTGCACGCCAGGTTCTGTGCTAAGCATTTTTCATCCATTACCTCTTTTAATGTACAAATAACCCTGTGAGGGAAGTGCCATATTAGCCTCTGTGTAACAGATGAGGAACTTATTAGTCACATACAAGCTAGTAAATCCTGAAGTCAACTTCAACCCAATTTGTCAAAATGCAAAGTCCATGTTTTTAACCACTGAACCCAGCTGTCATTAGACTTGACCAAAGTGGTGAAGCTACAACCTTGACTGGAAGATTCACTGGACTGAAACCAGCTGTCTAACTGAATGGGGCAGGGAATCAAATAATTTAGTAAAGTGCTTGATTTTATTACAGTTTTGAGATCCATGCTTCTCATTAGTATCAGAACTTTTATTTTTATATTTTCATTCATTTTTACAAAATAATGTTAGAATGCAAAAAATTTCGAATAACTGCAAAAAGAGTCCTGTATAAATAGAGAAGGTAAAGTTGCAGATGCCAGCCTTTCAGATCCTGGGCACTTCCATGGCACTGAGATCAGACTGTTCATCAGCCACTGGGAGGAGGTTGCTATAGAAACAGCAGTTGGTTGGGCATGGGGGTGGTCAATGGATTATGCACAAAAGGGTGAGTTAAGCAGAAGTCTAATGTACAAAAGCTATAACCACTTATTGAATTCTAACTGATGCCTTTTACCATTAACATGTCTTATTTAGGTGTGTCAAAAGCTATTTTAGAAGGTGCTGGACAAGCTGTGGAAAATGAATGTGCTGTATTAGGTATGGGCACATGTTACTTTTGACTACAAACTTGAAAATCAGAGGGCTGAGATTACAATGAGAGGATGTACAGGAGGACTGGGGGTGGAGTAAGTAGCGAGCAAAACTTTGAAAGAAGGTTGGTTCACTGGAAGAGCAGGCACAGGTGGTGGGACTTGGAGGCTATGGGGGAGAGGTTCTTTATCCCACCATCTCATCTGTCTCTTACTTCCTGAGTAGTAAAAAGAACCCAGGCGTGGGTCCTAATAATCCTGGCTCTGCCATTTACTGAGCGATCCTAGGCACGTCATCTAACTGCTAAGAGCTTTGCTTCTCTCATCAGTAGGAAAGTTCTACTAATAAGTAGTGTGGGAAAGCTGTGCCACAGGTGGTTTTGAGGATCAGAAGGAACAATTAATGTGAAAAGTTCTGTAAACTGTAAAGTGCTGTACAAACTTTCCCCAACCTTGTTCTACTTCTTCCAACACAACTGCATATAACCAACTTCTAATCGTTTTATGAATGAGTGTGGACTTTGAGTGGGGAACCTAAGGTAGTGATTATAAACTATTTGTCCTTTAATATACCCCTTGCAGAGGAGGGTAGACAGTCAGCTGTGAATGTACTTTCAAGAAGTCATAGTGCACCATGTTTGACAATGTATTCCCGCAACTGACCTGCTACAGTGCCTGAAACTCCTATCTTAGTAGCTCTCCTCTGATTAAGAAATTTCTCTGGAGTGAATAAAGCTCTGGAGTGAGAGCAGAGGAAGATAATATTTGATCACTAACATGAGGAGTTAGCAGGAGTTGGAGCACTGGGAGAGCTCGCTGTGCCTGGGAGGCAGGAGCAGAGGATGAAGGTGGGCTGCACAACCTGGAAAAGCCTGAGGAGGCTGCCTGGGAGGGAGGTGAGAAGGACACCCGAGGGGCCCTAGGGAGTGCCTGGGCATGGGTGCTCCTCAGGAGGGCAGGATGGGATGGGCAGGGATCCACTCTTCTCCTCCTTCCTTTTGCCGGCCCCAGCCTTACTCAGAGCAGTCTGAACCAAAGAAGCAATGCCTTAAAATGGCCCTGGTCATTTCCATGTGCTCAAGAGCTCTAGAGTCCTGAGCGAAGGAGAAGTTTTCATCCTTTTACACCTCCGTGCCACAGAGTTCGTTGCTTTTATCTCCTTCAAAAATTAACGTGGCTGAATGAGCCACGTTATTTTTTGCTCTTCTGGGACAGCAGAGTGGGGGTTTAGAGCTCTGGAGACTGGCTGCTTGGGTTCAAGTCCCAGGCAATCTTTGGCTACTGACCTTACCTCTCTCTGTGGCTGTTTCATGTGTGAATGGGAAAACAGTACCTGCTTCACGGGCTTGTTTTGAGGATTGAGCAGATTAATGCAGATAAAGTGCTTTTGAATAGCACCCCAAATACTCAACAGTGTATTTGTTGAGCTCGAGAATTCTGATTGTAAAGAAAATGTGGCTGTCACAGTCCAGTGAATGAAACCAACAGGCTCGAGGGAGGCTGGGCCTCACAGCCTTCACTGATGTCCGCTATTTTCATTTCTCAAAAATCAAAGTGTTGCCTCCAGTAACTAATGGGCTGCATGTTTGTTTTTCTTCCCTTTTTTTCAGCTGCACAGCCACACGGAGATTTTATAATTACACAAGGTGGATGCTTAAAGTGCAAAATAATAATTCATGTTCGTGGGGAAAATGATGTCAGGAAAACAGTCACCAGTGTTCTAGAAGAGTGTGAACAGAGGAAGTACACATCAGTTTCCCTTCCAGCCATCGGAACAGGTTTGCAGCTTATCACTCTATAATAAAATTTGAATGATACAAATTCCTTTAGATTTAGTCTCACTCTTAAGCAGATCAATGCTGAGTCCATCTGAAGGTGGCAACAATGATGTAAATCAGAGAGGGAGCCATCTTTTAGATCCGGAGGGCGCCACCAGCTACTGGGCCCAAGCCTCTTTCCTCCATCTTTCTTCTCTCTTTCTTTATTTTTTCAAGACAGAGTCTCACTCTGTTGCCCAGGCTGGGGTGCAGTGGCATGATCTCAGCTCACTGCAACCTCCTCCTCCCAGGCTCATGCAATCCTCCCACTTCAGCCTCCCAAGTAGCTAGGACCACAGGTGTGCACCACCACGCCTGGCGAATATTTGTATTTTTTTAATAGAGACAGGGTTTCCCCATGTTGCCCAGGCTGGTCTCAAACTCCTAGGCTCAAGCAATCCGCCTGCCTCAGCCTCCCTAAGTGCTGAGATTACAGGCATGGGCCGCTGAGCCCACCCCTTTCTTGTTTATGTTCCCTAAGTATCTTTCCAAGTTTGGTCCTTAACTTCATACTTTTCTCACTCTTCATTTTTTCCCCTTGGGGGATTCATTTGCTCTCATATCTGGTAACATTTCTGCACTGACTCTCAAATCAGCATTTCTCATTCTCTCCAGGATCTCCTCTGGGGAAGTTTTCTGTTACTAGAAACTTCATTACATCAGAATCCAAACTCATGATCCTCCCTTGAAAACAGACACTCCTCTTGAGCTCTCAGGCTTTCTCGTTTCCTTCTTCAGTGGTGCCATGACGCTCCCAGCTACCCTGGCCTGCCATCCTTGCTTTGTTGTGTCCCCAGACCCCCAGAGTCAGCAAGTCCTGCTGAATCTTCTTCCGGAGAGTTGTTGAGTTCCAGCCTTTCTTTTCGTTTCCAAACCCTTCAGACCTCCCCCATCTGGTTTACTTCAATGTCTCCCAGTCGGCTCCTCATTCATGCGTTCGTTGAATTGAAATGCCGTTACCCAGGCTCTGTGCAAGGCACTGGGGAGAAAATCATGAGTAAGATGCAGTCACTCCCCATGAGCAACAAGCTCAGGTTTGTCCTGCTCACAGTGTCTAAGAATGCTTTCCTCATCTCTATCGTATCATCCAGTCATTTGCTCTTCTTAGTTGACAGTGCTACTGGTCACTCACTTCCTGATTCATTCACATCCATGTCCCCTGTCACTCTCATGCAAGTGAGGGCTTCTTCCTTGGGAAGTATTAATAGTATGTAGCCACAGATTACCATTAATCTAAGAGAGTTTTTCAGCAATTAAATTTTTTATCTTAGAGCCACCACCATCATTTTAGCTCAACTCTGTAGACTTCCTTCTTCCCAGATTAAAACAGAATGCTCCTGCAGGTATCCCAGGCCCCTCTCGTATAACCCCCAGGGCACCCTCCAAAGTTTGCAGTACATTCTTCCTCCTTCCCCACTGCCCTTATTAACACCTATAACCTTTAGTTATAACCTTTTGTTATCAGTGGTAATGAGGGCAATAGGGAAGCCAGGGGGAACGTGCTGCAAGCGTTTTGTTACCACTTTTTGTTCCTTTTGTTCATTCATTTCTCCCCATCTGGAGCCTCTCCCACACCATCTGGCTAATTACAGCTCTCACAAACCCAAATTGTTTTGTTGCCATCACCCAGGGCAAGCACTCTGCTACTTGGCACTGGGCAAACAGAATGGAGTAAGCTCTGGCCCCTCCAGGAGTTCGTGATTTTGGAACAGATGCAAGACATAGTAACCGAGAATGATACCCAATGCAGAGATCACATGGTGTGATCGGCCACATAATGGGAAGGTTTGCAACTGGGCAGGTGGAATGAACCTGTCAAGGGACTGCATACAGAAAGAGAAGAGGGCTGAAACCAGAACAGTGGAAAATGCCCACAGGTAGATTGTGGTGGGGAAAGGGCAGAAAAATCAGCAAAAGAACCAACCAGTAATCCTAAGTGTTGGAGGAGGGTAAGTGCAAAACCCCAGAGGAGGAAGTGGGAGGCCATGAAATGCTTGTGCCAGGCCTCTTCGACTGTGAATACATTGTGAGATCCTCAAAAGGGAAGGACCAGATCTTTATGTCTTCTCTGCCCTGTGTTGAGTGAAGAATCATTGCCCTTTAAATTTTGTTGAATGGCGGAATGAATAACAGGTGATTTTGATGATGCCTCCAGACGTGCTCATGGATTTTCTCTTCCCCATTGATGTCAACGAACATTTTTGAAATGTTTCTCAGGCCTGGTGCAGGGGCTCACGCCTGTAATCCTAGCACTTTGGGAGGCTGAGGAGGGTGGATCACTTGATTGCTTGAGGTCAGGAGTTCGAGACCAGCCTGGCCAACATGGTGAAACCCTGTCTCTACTAAAAATAGAAAAATTAGCCAGGCGTGGTGGCAGGCAACTGTAGTCCCAACTACTCAGGAGGCTGAGGCAGGAGAATTGCTTGAACTAGGAAGCAGAGGTTGCAGTGAGCTGAAATTGCACCACTGCACTCCAGCATGGGTAACAAAGTGAGACTCCATCTCGAAAACAAAAAGACGGACAGAAAAAAGAAATGTTTGCCAGGCGCAATCTATTTTGAGTACCACTAAACTCCCATGAAGTAGCTGGAATAGCTACATTAATTTTAGTAATAATATTAATAATTGCTAAGATTTATTGAGTCCTTACTACATGTTCTAGGTGTTTTATATGTCAAAGCTCATGTATTCATTACAGTAACTTTATATAGGGTGATCAATTCTTTTGAGTTTTCCCAGGACTTTCCTGGTTTTAACACTGAAAGTCCCATGTTGCAGGCAGCCTCTCTGCTCTGGGGAAACTGGGAGGGTTGGTCTTGGTACCTATGACATGGAAACTATTAGCAAAGACAAATTTATTGTGAAGATAATGAAGCTTAAGTTATTGGACTTCACTTGCACAGGATTTTTAACAGACCCTGAGAGAAGCCCTAATAATGTCTTCACCTGGTTCTATGACTTAGTAAAATTTAAAAAGTAGGATATTTTAACCATCATGAATTAAGACCACTGTTTCTCCCCACTTTGACGTCTCATACTTCCCCTTGCACTGGGGGATGTTGGGGTGGCTATAAACATGTACACGATATAGCTAAGGAAAGTTGCCTCAGAAACACAATTTTCAGCATTTTAAAAGATATACTTTGTTGTGATTTCTTTTCTCATTCTAAATATTCACTGTTATACATAATTACATACTTATTCTTTTTCTGAGATATATAAATTTCAAAACCTGGATCCATCCTAAACTCTGTGTCCCCATTTTGTAGTTGAGGAACTTGAGGTAGGTTCAACCTAGCAACAGAGCTAGGTTCAAAGCCATGCCGCCTGGTCCCAAATCCTGCACAATTTTTACCATTACATTTTTTTTGTTTTGTTTTTTGTTCGCTTGCTTGTTCGCTTTTTACTATTACATGTTTTTTTTTTTTTAACCATTATATTCTTACCTACTGTATTCTTAGCTACCATATTCTTCTCTGTTACCTATTACCTTCTATTATTACCCCCAATTTCTAGCTGAGCAAACTGAAGTATACAGATGCTATAGGTTGAGTGTGTCTCTCCAAAATTCGTATGTTGAAGTCCTAACCCTGGTACCTCAGATTTAGAGGTAGGGTTTTTTTTTTGTTTTTTGTTTTTTATTTGTTTGTTTGTTGTTGTTTTTTGAGACAGAGTCTCGCTCTGTCACCCAGGCTGGAGTTCAGGGGCACTATCTTGGCTCACTGCAACCTCCACCTCCCCAGTTCAAGTGATTCTCCTACCTCAACCTCCTGAGTATCTGGGATTACAGGTGCCCCCCACCATGCCCAGCTAATTTTTGTATTTTTAGTAGCGACAGAATTTCACCATATTGGCAAGTCCGGTCTCGAATTCCTGACCTGAATTGATCTACTGGCCTTGGCCTCCCAAAGTGCTGGGATTACAGGCGTGAGCACCTAGTCTGGAGATAGGGTCTTTAAAGAGCTAATTAAGTTAAAATGAGGCCATTAAGGTGGACCCTAAACCAATATGACTAATGTCCTTATAAGAAGAGGACATTAGGATACTGCCAGGTATGGAAGGAAGAACACGTGAAGACACAGAGAGAAGACAGCCATCTACAGGTCAACCTTGCTGATACCTTGGCCTCAGTCTTCTAGCCTCCAGGATTATGAGAACATCAGTTTCTGTTGCTTAAGCCACCAGTCCATGGCTTTTTATACCGCAGCCCTAGCTAACTTCAAGAGGGATCAAATGACTTACTGAAGATCAGACAGCTAGTAAGTAGTGGAGCCAGGACATAAACTCAGCTCTTCTGCATCCAGATCACATGTTCTTATTTCTGCACTGCCAATGCCCATAAGCAAAAGATCACCAGGAACACACACTATGGGGAGCTCTGCAGCATCTCAGTAGGAGAGCGTTAGAAAACGTAATGGATTTGGGCTTGTTTTAGGTGATTTTGTGGCAGTCTCAAGTAAGTGGGGCTTTTCTCTGGATCAGAGACTTTGAGGAAACAGACATAATTCTATGATTGTCTTATCTAGAAGGAAGGAGGATGCACTCTGGCTGAATGTATGATTGGTAATGCAGCAGCTGTCACTCTTTTTTTATTTTTATTTTTTGAGACGGAGTCTTGTTCTGTCGCCCAGGCTGGAATGCAGTGGCACGATCTTGGCTCACTGCAAGCTCCACCTCCCGGGTTCACACCATTCTCCTGCCTCAGCCTCCCGAGTAGTTGGGACTACAGGCGCCCACCACCACACCTGGCTAATTTTTTGTATTTTTAGTAGAGACGGGGTTTCACCATGTTAGCCAGGATGGTTTCAATCTCCTGACCTTGTGATCCACCCACCTCAGCCTCCCAAAGTGCTGGGATTACAGACGTGAGCCACCACGGCTGGCCTAGCAGCTGTCACTCTTATTAGTCAAGATGGGGGATGTTTGGCCATCTCTGTGATTTGGACAGGGTTCATGTTTTTGTCTATGATAAGACATAATTATGGAGTAGTCTTGTTTTTGTGTTAATTCATCATGGTCAGAGTGGTTACATGGATGATATACTATGAAATTGTTTGTATTCAGCTAAAGAACATCAACTAGCTGTGAGTGTCAGATCAGTTCCTGGCTCTCAGGGGTTTTTCTGTTTCTCAGCACTGAGAACTGCATGTGCCGAATTTCATCATATTACCAACATCAGCTGAAATTTCTTCTTTGTCATTAAATTTTTTTCAGGAAATGCCGGAAAAAATCCAGTCACAGTTGCTGATAACATAATCGATGCTATTGTAGACTTCTCATTGCAGCATTCCACCACATCATTAAAAACCGTTAAAGTTGTCATCTTTCAACCTGAGCTGCTAAATGTATTCTACGACAGCATGAAAAGAGACCTCTGCGCATCACCGAACTTTCAGTCCACGTTCTCCATGACTACATGTAAGATGTTTACTTTTTAAAAATCACCTAGCTGGCTCTGATAATCACTTAGAAAATGTTTAGGTGTGAATGTACACTGAGTTTATAGTTTTCTATTTGTTTTAGGACTTTTCAGATAAGTTTTTATGATCCATGGGAAAAGTACAAAAATTAGAGAACGCAACCTCCTGTCAACTGATTATTTTCCTGAGAGGCAAAATCATGCCTGGGAAATAGGAATGGCAAATAAACAGGAAGAGAATGGAAGTGAGGAAGCAGAAAGAGGGAGGAGGCTTTGCAAATTCTAGCCAATGGTCTAGCCAATATTCATTGATTGGTTGGTATTGACCCTCATTGCCTCTTGGAGCTGTGAACTAGCTGATTAATATTGGTCTGCTAATCATCCACCTATAGACATGTTAGCCTGGAATAAAATCAGATGTAAGAAGGGAGTGGCTAGGGTCAGCTGGTTGTACTACATCACAAGCAGCCAGACAGTTCCCAGATACCCAGTTGCTACTCTGTAAGGTGTGTTTATACTTTAAGTATTTGTACCAACCTCTTCCTCTGATTTCGTTTTCCCCTATTTTGTGGCATTTGTACTGCTATTAAAATAACTAGGATTGCAGCCTCCTCTTGAAATCACTATTTTCACCCATTTGGAGCACTCACCCTTAAAGCGCTGTGGGTTTTGCTAGTGATAAGGCACATGTGCCATCAGCAGCCTCCCTAAACTGAGAATTATTATCTGCTGCTGTCAGGAGGAATGTCAGTTCTCTCTACATTTATTTCCTGACAAGTATTCTCCTCAGCATGCTACAACACACAATACATGTAGGACACACACAATAAAAACATGAAAATAATAGTTGGATCTGTAAAGGTTCTTGCAGTAGCAAATAACAGAAAATCCAACTTACACTGGCTTAAGCAAAAAGCAGAATTCAATAACTCATGTTATTATAAAACCCACACATTCCTGGCTTCAGGTACAGTTTGGTCCAGGTGCTCATATAATAATATCATCTAGACCCTGAATTTCTTCATCTCTCATTCTCTTCTCAGCTGTGTTGTCTTTTTCCTTGGGCTTCATATGGTGAAAGATGGCTGCTAGCAGCTTTAGGTCCACATCCTTCCACAGTCAGTTTCAACAGGAAAGAGTATATCCAGTGGAGATATACACTTATCCAGGAACATGATGCCAGGGAACAGAGGTCTTTTAAGCGCTGAGAGTCTTTCTGATTGGACCATTTTAGGTTATCATTGCAGGCAGGGAACCAGAATTACACTGATAGGCCAAACCAGGGTCACATACTCCACACTTCAGCTAGACGGGGTCACCATTTGAAGCAATGGGGAATAGCTGTTCCCCAGAGGAAATTCAGAAAGCTTTTACCAGAAGATGAGAAAAGGATACTGGGCATTTAAAAATAGTATGTACCTACTACAGTATCTAGGGATATATAAACTAACACTTTTTCCCTTTGGTCCTTGTAGATGAAATTTTTTATTTAAATTTAAGAACAGTAAATAAGTCATTATCAGTAAAGTAAAAGATAAAGTTTAACTGGTTCATCACTCTTTGCTTTCATCAAGATTTTAAACAGACTTACAAATTTAAAAAACAAAACAGTGAAGTTGAAGAGAGAAGCAAACAAAAAACTGACTAAAATGAGCAGACAACTGACCCTCTGAGACAGCAGGGTTGTCAATGCAGTGAAAGACTGATTTCAACCTGAACTTCTGGCACCCAAGGCAAAAACAAACCACAATAAAACTGCATTACGTCATCTTTGTTGTTAGAGAAAAGGAATAATACAGATGAAATATCAGATAACAGGAAGTTTGTTTTCCCAGCACCATTTATTAAATAGGGAATCCTTTCCCCATTTCTTCCTTTTCCATTTCTTTGTTTCTCTTCCCCAGGTTTGTCAAAGATCAGATGGCTGTAGATGTGTGGTATTATTTCTGAGGACTCTGTTCTGTTCCATTGGTCTATATTCTGTTTTGGTACCAGTACCATGCTGTTTTGGTTACTGTAGCCTTGTAGTATAGTTTTCCAAAGAAGTCAGGTATGTGATGCCTCCAGCTTTGTTCTTTGACTTAGGATTGTCTTGAGATATGGCTCTTTTTTTGAACCATGAACTTTAAAGCAGTTTTTTCCTAATTCTGTGAAGAAGCTCATTGGTAGCTTGAGGGGGAGATGGCATTATAATCTATAAATTACCTGGCAGTATGGCCATTTTCACGATATTGATTCTTCCTATCCATGAGCATGGTATGTTCTTTCATTTGTTTGTGTCCTCTTTGATTTCACTGAGCAGTGGTTTGTAGTTCTCCTTGAAGAGGTCCTTTACATCCCTTGTAAGTTGGATTCCTAGGCATTTTATTCTCTTTGAAGCACCAGAATGGAAGTTCATTCCTGATTTGGCTTCTGTTTGACTGTCACTGGTGTATAAGAATGCTTGTGATTTTTGCACATTAATTTTGTATCCTTGAGACTTTGCTTAAGTTGCTTATCAGCTTAAGGAGATTTTGGGCTGAGACAATGGGGTTTTCTAAATATACAATCATGTCATCTGCAAACAGGGACAATTTGACTTCTTCTTTTTCCTAACTGAATCCCCTTGATTTCTTTCTCTTGCCTGATTGCCTTAGCCAGAACTTCCAACACTATGTTGAATAGGAGTGGTGAGAGGAGGGCATCCTCTGTCTTGTGCCAGTTTTCAAAGGGAATTTTTCCAGTTTTGCCTATTCAGTATGAGGACATGTGGGTTTGCTGCTAAATAGCTCTTATTATTTTGAGGTACGTTCCATCAATACTGAATTTTTACTTTATGGCCAGCCAGAGAAAGCTGAAACTGGATCCTTTCCTTACTCCTTATACGAGTACTAATCGCCAAGATGGATTAGAATTTAATGTTAGACCTAATACCATAAAATCCTAGAGGAAAACCTAGGTAGTACCATTCAGGACATAGGCATGGGCAAAGACTTTACCGCCTAAATCACCAAAAGCAACAGCAGCAAAAGCCAAAATTGACAAATGGGATCTCATTAAACTAAAGAGCTTCTGCACAGCAAAAGAAACTACCATCAGAGTGAACAGGCAACCTACAGAATGGGAGAAAATTTTTGCAATCTACTCATCTGACAAAGGGCTAATATCCAGAATCCTAAGCAAAGAACTCAAACAAATTTATGAGAAAAAACAAACAACCCCATCAAAAAGTGGGCAAAGGATATGAACAGACATTTCTCAAAAAGAAGACATTCATACAGCCAACAGACACATGAAAATGCTCATCATCATCTGGTCATCAGAAATGCAAATCAAAACGGCAACAGATACCATCTCACACCAGTTAGAATGGCGATAATTCAAAAGTCAGGAAACAACAGGTGCTGGAGAGGATGTGAGAAATAGGAACACTTTACACTGTTGGTGGGATTGTAAACTAGTTCAACCATTATGGAAAACAGTATGGCGATTCCTCAAGATCTAGAACTAGATGTACCATATGACCCAGCCATCCCATTACTGCAGAGAGCACCTAAGGATTATAAATTATGCTGCTGTATAAAGACACATGCACACGTATGTTTATTGCAGCACTATTCACAATAGCAAAGACTTGAATCAACCCAAATGTCCATCAGTGACAGATTGATTAAGAAAAATGTGGCACATATACCATGGAATACTATGCAGCCATAAAAAGGATGAGTTTGTGTCCTTTTGTAGGACATGATGCAGCTGGAAACCATCATTCTTAGCAAACTATCACAAGAACAGAAAACCAAACACCGCATGTTCTCACTCATAGGTGGGAACTGAACAATGAGATCACTTGGACTCGGGAAGGGGAACATCACACACCGGGGCCTATCATGGGGAGGGGGGAGGGGGGAGGGATTGCATTGGGAGTTATACCTGATGTAAATGACGAGTTGATGGGTGCAGCACACCAACATGGCACAAGTATACATATGTAACAAACCTGCACGTTATGCACATGTACCCTACAACTTAAAGTATAATAATAATAAATAAATTTAAAAAAAAAGGAAGTTTGTTGGCTCAGATAAACTGGAATTTTAGTAAGGATTTAACATATAGCCCTTTTTCAAAAAGAACTTAAAGAGGATAGCTTTGAGATTCATTTGTGCAGATGATACACAATTACTTTTCAAATGTATGTTAAAGCTATTTATTGAGTCCAGAGGTTATTTATTGAGCACCAACTGTATATCAGATATTAGAAATATAGATTTGGGAAGTCATGTGAGTAGGTGGGATTGAAGCCCTTAAGTGTGATTGGCTTATCCATGAGAATAAACAGTGAGGAGAGAAAGACTGGGGGCAGAGCCAGGGATCTGGTTTGTTTGTTCGTTTGTTTTTGAGACTGAATCTCACTATGTTGCCCAGGCTGGAGTGCAGTGGTATAATCTTGGCTCACTGCAACCTCTGCCTCCCAGGTTCAAACAATTCTCTTGCCTCAGCCTCCTGAGTAGCTGGGATTACAGGCATTTTAGTAAAGATGGGGTTTCACCATGTTGGCCAGGCTGGTCTCGAACTACCGACCTCAAGTGATCCACCTGTCGGCCTCCCAATGTGCTGACATTACAGGCATGAGCCAACGTGCTCGGTTGGGATCTTGGTTTTTAATCCCATCCCCACAGCTGAGGGCATTTATCCTGAACCACCAGGAATTTGAAAGTAGAGCTTATCTTTTAAAACAGTGGTCCCCAAACTTTTTGGCCCCAGGGACCACTTTCACGTAAGACAAGTTTTCCACGGACTGGATTATGAAGGGGGATGGTTTCAGGATGATCCAAGTGCGTTACATTTATTGTCCACTTTATTTTTATTATTATTACATTGTAATGTATGATGAAATAATTATAAAACTTACCACAATGTAGAATCAGTGGGAGCCCTGAGCTTGTTTTCCTACAACTGGACAGTCCCATCTAGGGATGATGGGAGACAGTGACAGATCATCAGGCATTAGATTCTCACTAGGAGTGCACAATCTAGATCCCTTGCATGCACCGTTCACAACAGGGTTTGAGCTCCTATGAGAATCTAATGCTGCCGCTGATCTGACAGAAGACGGCGGTAATGTGAATGACAGGGAGCAGCTATAAACACAGATGAAACTTTGCTCTCTTGCCTGTGGCTCACCTCCTGCGTGCAGCCTGCTTCCTAACAGGTTACAGACCAGTGCTAATCTGTGGCCTGGGATTTGGGGACCCCTGTTTTAAAAAACACTAATCTTTTCAAAGAGCTGTATGGGAAGAGGGCTCAGGAAAATGCCTAGCACATGGAAACACTTTTAAAAGGGTAGTTATCATGATATTTCTGTGAAGCCCTGGGCTGCAAGTCAACAGTGCTCCTTACTTTGGTAATGACCTTCCATGTGATGCTGGGTGAGTATTCCTGGGACTCTGTTTTCTCTCCTCTAAATTGTCTAGCCAAAGTCATCTTTTGTACATAGAAGACAGAGTAGGTTGGTGTGGCTTAAGGGTATGATTTAAATGTTTCTCCTCCAAGAAAATACCTTTGGCTTTATGCTTTATTCCCTGTTAATATACAAATACCAGCTGGGCACTGTGGCTCATGCCTGTAATCCCAACACTTCAGAAGGCCAAGGCAGGAGGATTGCTTCAGCCCAGGAGTGGGACCAGCCTGGGCAACATGGCAGAACCTCATCTCTACAAAAAAAAAAAAAAAAAAAATAGCGAGGCATGTGCCTGTAGTCGCACCTACTAGAGAGGCTGAGGCAGGAGGATTGCCTGAGCCTAGGAGGTCAAGGCTGCAGTGATCCATGATTGTGCCACTGCACTCAAGACTGGATAACAGAGTGAGACTCTATCTCAAAATAATAATAATAATTAATAATAATATGCAAATACCTCTGGGATGTAAAAAAATCAAGCTTAATTGGTTTTTAAGAATAATAACCCTATGTTTACAAAGGACTTGGCATTCCCTAAAGCACTTTCAGACTCCTTACTATATTTTAACTTTGCAACAATTCTGTGAGGTGGTAGATAGAGCTCATGGGATCTATCTTACAATTCCCATTACACAGATGAGAAAATAAAAACTCACCCAGAAGTGGTGTTATATGTGTTCAATGTCATATGGCTGGTCACAGGCTGAGGCTGATCTGGTCTTCTGATTCTAAGTCTTGATAGCTTCCTGCTCTCCGACCTCAGGGCATGAAAGGAATAGAGGGCCCCCAAAAAACCTTCACCTCCGTACTTCCCAGGCTTGCCTGCTGTATTCGGGGGAAAGGAAGCAGCAGATCCAAAAGGACTGTAAGGCCTTGGGTTAGAAATGATTAGGCAGAAAGATCCTGAAGGAGATGGACAGTGGGGGAATGGAAGGAATGTAGCTTTCAGAAACCATACATCTTATTGGTGGGAAACTGCCAGAATGACTTTAAACATAGAGTTTGAAAAGAGCTTACTGATTAGGGTTAGATGCCTCCCTGTGTCACGAGAACTTACCCCGGATGGACTTGCTCAACAGGAAGACAGTGCCCTGGATCCCTCTCTCAGGCTGGGTATATCTTTCACTAAAAAGGAGTAAATTGTGGCTTTGTTTGTAAGGAAGAAATCCTTTGGTTTTTACCTATGGTGGTGTGTCTCTAATGCAGGGTGTCCATGTTCACACTGGTACTGCTATCTTAGCAAGTTGATGTCTAGCCTTGGTGTTTTAGAAGTTCCAGGAAGCCATTGAAAAGCAAAGGAAACCCGGGCATGATCACCTTATGGGAAAGCATTCTCTTAGCACATCTGCTATTTTCTTTACATGCTGCTTTCTCTGCTTGGTGTATAAGATGGGGTACAGAACAATGTACTTTAAATATCTTTAGCAGGGTAATCATTTTCAAAACAACAGAAGAGAACTACATTAAATAATACTGATAAAAGCAAAAGCACCTAGAAATTAACATTCATGTTTACATATTAGTTTCTTACAAAATTAATTCCATAGAACTCTCTGGGAAAATTACAACTTCAAGCTACAGTGGATCTAAGTTTATCTAAATATTTTAGCTAGCGCATTAATGAATATATTGTGTGTCATATTGATGTCAGACCGTTCACTTCATCTGGGTTTACTCAACTGAGGATAATAGAAGAAGCAACTGTGAAATGTGTAACTTCTAGTTTAAAGACCAGGTTTGGATGGCGAGAGACAAGAACATAGGCGGTGCCCTGATTTTCAGAGGTCTTTGGAAATGAATGTTGTATTTTGACCAAATGCTGACTTTCCAGATAATCTTCCTGAACACTGGACTGACATGAATCATCAGCTGTTTCGCATGGTCCAGCTAGACCCAGGACAACCAGAATATAATACCATAAAGGACAAGTTCACCCAAACTTGTTCTTCCTACACAATAGAGAAGGTAATACTGTTAAAATTTACTATTTAAAAATGTTGATGAATTAACATAAAAGCTATCTCTTTTTAAATGACACCTTTCCTTCCTTTGTACCTTACTATGTTTATTTTAACTGGAATTAGACTTACTCAAGCTCCACAGACCTCAAATCTCACGGTTTACTCATTAGCAGTAATGAAGGAGATTCCAAGTCACATGTGTATGTTAGGATGCTTTCAGCTGCAAGTCACAAACCAACTCACTCAAACTGATTAAGCAAGGAGAACTGTGTCGGAAATTAATGGAAAGTCCCGAAGTAGGATGGGCTTTGGAGAAGTCTGATCCAGCAGCTTGATGGTGTCCTGGATCCAGTTGCTCCAGCTTTGCTGTCCTCAGTGTCAGCTTTGTGTTAAGGCTGGACTCTCTTTGTGGTTGTTGGATGGCTGCTGGCAGCCATTAGAGGATCTCTGCTTTCTCATTCACAACCCATAGAAGACAACTCTGTCCTGTCCTGCAGTTACTGGACAAGAAGCCCAACCACTGCAACTATCTCCGTGTCTAGGGAATACCCTGTTCGGGTTGGCTTGGGCCTGAGCTATCAAATGCCATCAATGTGTGATCCATATTGAAATCCCGATCAGTTTAACTCAATTAGACGCCATCCTAGAACTATAAGTAGGGCCAATCCCACTCAAACCAGAAGTTGCTGATGAGGCAGAATGTATGTTTAGAAGATTATCACAATTCCCTCTATGCTGCGTAAAAACATTAGTCAGTAAACTATAGGAGGTCATTATCATACCATGTGTATCAGAACAGGGTGTGGCATCCTAGTAATTTAAAATCTTGTTGGTGCTTCCATAGAACTGTGTACTTACCTCTTGGAGCACTTATAAAGTGGGTACTTTGTAACTATGCACTTACATTACAGCACTTATAAGGTACTTTGATAACCTTTCACATGCCTGGCTTCCTGACTAGACAGTGAGCTGCTTAAGGTAGGAGTTGCATCTTGTTCATTTCTTCATTCGCAGTACCTAGGAAGCTGTCTAGCACATAGTAGGACACAATATGTATTGAGTAAACTTGATTGAATGAATGAGCTTAATTCCTGAGAAAGGGGAACCAGGAGATAGAGACATCCTACAGAAAGGACAGAATTTAAAGGAGGAGATGCCTCGTCGTGTTAAAAGCTGTTGGAAGTACAGTCCTAGACCTCTGAATCCATGGGTTCTGCATCCATGATTTCAACCAACCTCGGATGGAAAGTGTGGTGAGGCCTATGATGGTTGAGTGTATGGAATGTGTACAGACTTTTTCTTTTTTTTTTCAGACTTTTTCTTCTTGTCATTATTCCCTAAACAATGTAACAACTATTTACATAGCATTGGTTAATACATTGTATGAAGCAATATAAGAAATCTAGAGATGATTGAAAGTATATGGAAGGATTGTGTAGATTATATATTAATACAAATACAGTACTATGTCATTTTATATCAGGGACTTGAGCATCCTCAGATTTTGGTATCTGCAGCGGTCCTGGAACCAATCCTTCATGGAGATTGAAGGATGACTGTACAAGATGTGCAAGAACCTCATTTCAACTGTGTTTACCCAGTATCTGCAACTTTCTTGGCTCATACTTCTTTTGAAAACCCCCAACTTTGGATTAATTCCATAACCTACCTTCTCTCCTGCTGCTCCTAGATGAAATCCTTACTAATTCATGATCCCCAGCCTCAGCTGGACCCTCCAGGCTGCCTGGAATCCTTCATTGCTTCCTCCAGTCACCCCCTCACACATTCCCCATTGCAAACCTTCATTTCTCTCCCGGAGGCCTCCGCTACTTTCAGCAGAACATCTTTCCTACCTTTTATGGCTTGGATTCTCCTCAACAGCTGCCCAGGTACCCACTCCATTCTTCTTGAACCTCTCTTCTTCCTCTGTTTCCAGAACATCGTCCTTTCAGATTTCCTCCTCCTTTCCCAGACACAGGTTATCTGGAGCCCGTTCTTATAACTTCATAGCTCCAGGTGTGTTCTCCTGACCATCCCTTATCACTCTGTGGGGTAGTGGTTAGTTTTCTTGCCTTGCCCCTGCCCCTGTGCCATTAGACTGACTGTTTCATGAAGGCAGAGATCCAACACAAGCTTGATTCATAGAGATGTTCAGTAGGTGATGGCTGAATGGATGTTAACTCCGTTTCCTAGGAGGAAGGAGAGCCAGTAGAGAGTGATATTTTGAAAAGAAGTGAAAGAAGAACAGAGTTTTAAGGAGGGGATGGTTCATGGTTTGAAATGCTATTCAGAGGTCTAGAAAAAAATAGTCATAAGATTAGGCAATTATAAGGTGATTTGTGACCATAATTGGAGCATTAACAGAAAGAACTGTTATGAGGAGAAGCCACATGGAATGAGTTGGAAGATGAGAAGGAGTTAAGGACATGGCTATTGAATAACTACACATTTTTGAGTAGGTGTTTGAATGTCAGTGAATCTCCAGGAATTCCAGGGAATATATATTGGTAATCATTTTGATATAAACTATAAATTATGTTATTTAAAATATATACTAACAAGCACTATTACAAAGCATAGATACTAATAGATACTTTTAGCCCATCTTTCTCTAAAGGCAGAAAACTGCCTACTCTCTGAATGTGCTGTCTACTTGTATTCTCTTCTCCTTTTCCTTCACCAACTCGTCTTCCTCTTCCTTCTTTTTCATATTGCTTGTTTTAAATCCACAACAAGTGCAATACACTGAGCCCCAAGGTCATTTCTGAAATATTTTGTCTTTTGTCACTTGCAGATTGAGAGGATACAGAATGCATTTCTCTGGCAGAGCTACCAGGTAAAGAAAAGGCAAATGGATATCAAGAATGACGATACGAATAATGAGAAACTCCTCTTCCATGGGACAGATGCAGACTCAGTGACATATGTCAATCAGCATGGCTTTAATCGAAGTTATGCTGGGAAGAATGGTAAGGAAGTGAGTAATCTGGCTGATCAGAACGAGGCAAACGATAGTTTCAGACTTTTCATACCCAAGCAGTGTGGAACCATGGTTGGCAGCTGTATTATCACTGTCAGAATAGAGCTCGCTGTGTTTCACTATAAAGGAGACTGGCAACCTTCTGAGGGAAGATTGAGCAAATTTTAGAAATGAAGAAAAGTAACTTTAATGTGCAGGTTTTTTTGGGGGGGAGGCTTTTTTTTCTTTTTAGACAGTCTCATTCTGTCACCCAAACTGGAGTGCAGTGGCAAGATCATGGCTCACTGCAGCCTTGATCTCTTGAGCTCAAATGATGTCCCCACCTCAGTCCCCTGAGTAGCTGGGATTACAGGCATACACCACTATGCCTGGCTAATAATTTTGTTTTATTTTTATAGAGAAGTGATCTCATAATGTTAGCCATGCTGGTCTCGAACTCCTGGCCTTAAGCAATCCTCCTGCCTCAGCCTCCTAAAGTGTTGGGATTACAGGCATGAGCCAACACACCTGGCTAGAACTGCATTTAGAAAACAATTTTGTCAGATTGGGCATGGTTCTACATATTGTGTAATTTTATATTCTTAGGAAGGTTTTTGTCTTTCTCTTTCCAGCTGTATTCTATGGAAAAGGAACCTATTTTGCTGTAGATGCCAGTTATTCTGCCAACGACACCTACTCCAAGCCGGACAGCAATGGGAGAAAGCACATGTACGTTGTGCGAGTACTTACTGGAGTCTTCACACAGGGACATGCAGGATTAGTTACCCCTCCACCCAAGAATCCTCACAATCCCACAGATCTCTTTGACTCAGTGACAGACAATACACAATCTCCAAAGCTATTTGTGATATTCTTTGATAATCAGGCTTACCCAGAATATCTCATAAGTTTCACGCGTTAAAAATATTTTTATCATCAAAGAGATGATTTATCTGTGAGAACAACATGCAATCTTTGTCTTTGCTTTTGGCCTGTTTAAGCAGACAAAAGTTTCCCTTTTAGGTGCTAAAATGCTGAAAATTACCTTTTTAAAATGCTCTATTGCTGCAATTTGTAGCATACCTTTTTTTCTCAGCAAATTGATGGGTGGAAGCTAAGAAATGTATGGTAAATGTCACAGTTAGAGCTACAGCTATTCACAGACACCAAATCTGTAGGAGAATAAAAAGCACATTATTCTTTTTCTATCAGAAAAAAACCAAGATACATCACCTTAAAGCCCAGATGACACTGTTCTACTTGGAACATGTTAAGACATCGAATGGTGGCGCGTTAAACTGTACTACTTAAGTGGAGAGGCTACTGTTACGCATCTGTAACAGCTGGGGATTTTGCCTTATTAAGAAAAACCTGTCGATAGTTCAGCTGAAATGACTGGATCACTGAATATTAACTCTGTTATGGAACAAATCATAACAGATTTTACCTGTTTACATTTCAGGTAAAAATGTATAAAAAAATTACCCCCAATTTTAGTGACTGAATCCCACACAGTCTTTGTGGGTCCGGAGTTCAGGTAAGGCCTACCTGGTCATTCTGCTAGGGTCTCTCTGAACTTAGAGACAAGATGTCAGGGGGTGTGGTCATTTGAAGGCTTGTCTGGGCTGGAGGTCTATTTCTAAGGTGAATCACTCACAGGTATTGGCAGTCCTCAGTTCCTCTCCTCACGGGCCTCTCCACAGGCTGCTTGAGTGTCCTCATGACACAAGAGCTGGCTTACTCCAGAGTGAGCAACTCAAGAGAGAGCAAGGCAGAAGCTACCAAGTCTTTATGACTGAAGTCATACACCATCTTTTCCGCAGTATCCTATTGATTATTTGGATCATCTTGTTCAACCTGGGAGGGAATTGCACAAGGACATGAATACACACTGGCAAGGATCACTGGGGGCCAGCTTGGAAGCTGTGTGAATGAGCAAATGAATGCACAGATAGAATGTTAGCAGCGAAAATGATGCTAGAGGTCACCTACCCCACTGTCCTCTTGTCTTTCTCCCCCAGCCCTCCCCTGCTCCCAGGCAAGAAGCCCTCTAGCCTCTGCTAGATCACTTTCAGCACTCAACATCTTGAGGGAACCTATTCCACTGTGGGACAGTGTTAATTAGTGGAAAACTCTTTTTTTCAAAAGTTGAAATCAGTTCCTCTATGTCTATTACCTGCTGATCACTGTCCAGACTTCTGGAGGACACAGAACAAGTTTTATTCCTCTTACCGATGGTAGCCTTTCAGATTCATCCCTTCCCTCCAGTATATTAGAGTTATGTAAATTCTTAAAATGCCTAGCAGTTTATTTATCCTGAAGCATCACTTTTGAAAAGTTACAGACATTTAAGAAGTATTTATATTATCATAAATAAATTACATGTGCATTTAAAAAGGACAGAAGAGTATAAAGAAAAATATCTCACCAAACTCATTCATAATTCCAGCACTAAGGGAAAACCACTGCCAATTTCTCATGTTCTCCCTTCCAGTTTCTTCTCTGTCCAAATTCAACAAAGTCAAAATCACATTTTGTTCAGTCATGAATCATATGATATTATTTCTACCATTTTTCATTTAACATTACAAGTTGTTCTCCTGTGTTATTTTTTCTGTACACATAATTTTAATGGCAGAGTTATTCTGCTTTATATCTTTTCCCTATTTTTATGTATATAGAATTATAAAATTTAAAAAAATGTAATCATCATTTATAGTTTAATAATCAATTTTATTTTGCAGTGTATCATTTTCCTCATGTCATTAAATATTTTACATATTATTTTTAATGGTTGCATAGTATTTCATTGCCTGTTTCTACCTACATGTCGTGTCAAAATAAGGTACCTATATTTCTTGATAAATATGAGGCTAGAATATGAGATGCAAAGATCCTAATCTACCTTCAACAAGACAGTCAAAATGCTCTGTTGCTGCAATTTGTAACATACCTGAAGGAAATATAGTCCCAGAGAACAAAGTAAGGTTAAGTAATGCAATTCCTGCCTGGGACTTGTCTCTCAATACCATCGCAGAATTCTCGTGAGCCATGTTAGAACAGGAAAGGACTCCTAGCCTGGGCAAATAGGGAGACCCCATCTCTACAAAAATAAAAAAAAATTAGCCCAGCATGGTGGCACATGCCTGTGGTCCCAGCTACTCAGGAGGCTGAGGTGGGAGGATTGCTTAGACCCAGGAGGTCAAGGCTGCAGTGAGCTATAATCCTGCCACTGCACTCCAGCCTGGGTCACAGAGCAAAACCCTATCTCAAAAAAAAAAAAAAAAAAAAAAAAAAAAAAAGACCCTTTTACTTAGGTTAGGTGGACTCTTATTTACAGTGTCCGCTGCTGACTTGTTGCCTCCTTCAATATTGTTACTCAGGGATGTTGTTCCCCAGTTTATTTTGCTGTACCCTTATGTCAGGAGTGAGACACAGAAGTCTGGAGTACAGTTTACCCATGTTATTAAAGTTGTGATGCTTTCTTGAGGAACAATGAACCAATCAATAATTATAGCTGTTTAGAAATTCTACCTCCTGTCAGTCTGACGCTAAATTGTATCTTTCCATCCTTTAAGTCCATCTCCTTCCCACTTGGCTTGATTTTTCCTCTCTATATGACTAGAATGGTCTCTACTTCTATCCGAAGAACTAACTGTTATCTAGCTTAGAATCAAAATTAGAAGTCTTGTCAAACTGCTAATTACTGAAGAAATCCATCTCTTTTCTCTGTATCTTCAGAGTTCAGGTAAATGGTACCTGATCGATCCAAGACCAGAGACCATGAGCTCTAATTCCTGACTGGCAGCCTTCTTTCACAGAAGCCTTTACGGTCTCAAATATCTTCTCTTATTGCTTTTCTTACCATTCTTTTCCTTCTTGTTCCTTTTTTTTTTTTTTTAATTCTTTCTCTCACTTGTGGAAAAAAAGGACACACACTCTGCTTGGATGAATCAGAGGAAATATTTTCATTTTTTTCTGCACCAATATTAGATAGCCACTCAAATTCCACATAGTATATATGGTAATGTATTAATTGAACACAAGGTTTACAAATTCATTTACAGTGTGGCGGGTTATCACAGGACTGGTAAGATCTTTCATAGCTAGTATGATCAAATTCAATTTCTTCTGAGTACTTGACTAGAACAAATACAGTTTCTTTTAGTAAACAAGCTTTATAGTAAATATGTTTTACAAGCTTAATTGATTAAATTATTCCATATCCTAGCTTTGGTCTTCACCACATTAGTAAACATAGGAAGGGAATCTTACAACTAAATTCAGAGTATGAATAACTTAAAAGATCTTTGGCCCATTTCTCTTTGTTTACACTATTTTTGTGGTAACTAGGATATAAATATTCTCAATCTTCTTTTCTTTATTTCACTGAGAAGGGCATTTTCTACACAGTATTTAATTCCCCTAAGTCTCTTGTTCCTAAAATTATCACTCTATAACTAAGACCTATCAGAGGAGTGATTGTGGCTTCCATAAAATCCAACCACCTCTTCAATCTGAGCCTTTCTTTTCATGTGCTTAATGTATTCTTGTCTCTTCACACCTAGACTGCTCAACTCTCAACACCTTTTTCACATTCAATTTACTCAATTAGTACAATGCAAGATCAACCCTCCACCTAAACAGAAAAAAAATAATGAAAATGCTTCTCTTTAGGTCTTTGTAGTTTATGGTGCTAGATGGAGCTCTTTTTTTCATATTAACTCCACTAAAATTCCAATTAAAGTGCCCAAGATAAGGGAAGTACCAATACAAAAAGAACAACATAAAATTAACAAATCTAGGGTCAACAACAAAAACAAATTCAGTGTAAATACGGGATAGGGGGATAAAAACAAGAACCTAGAAAGTAAAAGTAGGAGTATTAGAATCTAGAACATATAATGATAAACACCATAGAGCAATAACTCACTTCTATTGTTTTTTGTTTTGTTTTTTGTTTTGAGATGGAGTCTCACTCTGTTGCCCAAGCTGGAGTGCAATGGTGCCATCTTGGCTCACTGCAACCTCCACCTCCCGGGTTCTAGTGATCCTCCTGCCTCAGCCTCCCAAGTAGCTGGGATTACAGGTGTTCACCACCACGCCTGGCTAATTTTTTTATTTTTAGCAGACTCAGGGTTTCACCATGGTGGCCAGTCTGGTCTTGAACTCCTGACCTCAGGTGATCTACCCGCCTCAGCCTCCCAAAGTGCTGGGATTACAGGTGTGAACCACCACATCTGGCCAAATGTTCTATTGTTAACAGAGGTTTGTTTGTTCTTTTTTTTTTTTTTTTTTTTTTTTGGAAGACAAAGTCTCTGTTGCCCAGGCTGGAGTATAGTGGTGTGATCTTGGCTCACTGCAACCTCTGTCTCCCAAGTTCAAGTGATTTTTGTGCTTCAGCCTTCCAAGTAGCTGGGACTACAGGCATGTGCCACCACACCTGGCTAATTTTTATATTATTAGTAGAGACGGGGTTCTGCCACGTTGTTCAGGCTGGTCTTGAACTCCTGATCTCAGGTGATCTGCCCGCCTTGGCCTCCCAAAGTGCTGGGATTACAGGCTTGAGCCACTGTGCCAGGCCTTGTTTTTTTCTTTTGAAACAGGGTCTCACTTTGTCACCCACGCCAGAGTGCAGTGGTGCACTCATGGTTCACTGCAGCCTTGATTTCACAGGCTCAAGTGATCCTCCCATCTTAGCCTCAAGCAATCCTCCCATCTCAGCCTCCTAAGTAGCTAGGATCACAGGCACGTGCCACCACACTGGAATAATTTTTTTTTTCAGTAGAGAAAAGGTCTCCCTGTGTTGCCCAGAGTAGTGTCAAACTCCTTGGCTCCAGTGATCCTTCCACTTGGCCTCCCAAAGTGCTGGGATTACAGACATGAGCCACCGCACCCAGCCAACAGAGCATTTTAATATATACAGTATCTCACTTCTCTCTGTAGCAGTCCTCTGAGGAAGGGCCCCTTTGATGGAGGACGCTGATCCTCAAAGGGATCAGATGACATGCCTCTCTCATTCAGCTAGTAAGTGGCAGTGCTGGGACTGGGTGTCAAATCTCTGAGAAAGATCAGAGTTGTTGATAGACTCCACACTGCATGAATGGAAGCAGAAAACAGTATACTGACTTAAAAAATGGTAAACCAACAAATAAAATGAAAAATGGCTGGGCACAGTGGCTCACGCCTGTAATGCCAGCACTTTGGGAGACTGAGGCAGGTGGAACACAAGGTCAGGAGTTTGAGACCAGCCTGGCCACCATGGTAAAACCCTGTCTCTCCTAAAAGTACAAAAACTAGCCGGGAGTGGTGGTGCGTGCCTATAATCCCAGCTACTCGTGAGTCTGAGGCAGGAGAATTGCTTGAACCTGGGAAGCAGAGGCTGCAGTGAGCTGAGATTGCGCCACTGCACTCCAGCCTGGGCGACAGAGCAAGACTCCGTCTCAAAAAAAAAAGAAAAAAAAAAATCACAACAAAAAACTGAAAAATGAAAGAGCACTAAATAGTCCTATCACAAGAAGTCAAGAAAGCTTAATTAACTCAGAAAACAGGGTATGCAAATTCAAAGTCCTAATCAAAGGGGTTTCTGAGTAAACACAACCAAAAGGCAGCTTGAAAAACCACAAGTCAAGAATATGAAAGAAAATTTCCTGGAATTGAAAAAAGAATATAGCTTTGGGGGAAAAAGGACACTTCATTCAATTAAGGGAGATTACATAATAATCACGTGCATTAGAATAACTTTTATCTTGTTACCTTAGATTATTCACCAGGAGCCCCCAAGTTTTAAAATATACTTAAAAATAATTTTTTTTTTCTTCGAGACAGTCTCAAGGCTGGTGTGCAAGTGGTATGATCACAATCTCGGCTTACTGCAACCTCCAACTCTTGGGTTCAAGCAGTTCTCCTGTTTCAGCCTCCTGAGTAGCTGGGATTACAGGCACTGGCTAATTTTTGTATTTTTAGTAGAGACAGGGACCAGGCTGGTCTCAAACTCCTGACTGCAAGTGATCCACCTGCCTTGGCCTCCTAAAGTGCTGGGATTACAGGCATGAGTCACTGTGCCTGGCCTAAAGTAAGTTTTGTTTGTTTCTTTTTTGGTTTGTTTTTTGAGACGGAGTCTCACTCTGTCACCCAGGCTGGAGTGCAGAGGTGCTATCTCTGCTCACTGCAACCTTGCCTCCTGGGTTCAAGGGATTCTCCTTCCTCCTAGCTGGGATTACATGGGCCCACCACCACACCCAGCAAATTTTTTTTATTTTTATTTTTAGTAGAAATAAGGTTTCACCATGTTGGCCAGGCTGGTCTTGAACTCCTGACCTCAAGTGATCCGCCTGCCTCGGCCTCCTAAAGTGCTGGGATTACAGGCGTGAGCCACTGCGCCCTGCCAGTAAGCTTTTAACTAAAGTTAAGTGATGTATGCTTTAGCTGCAAACTAAATGGTTTCCTTGTGTGTCTACCTGCAAAGGAAAAGTACTCCAGGGTGAGTCAAGGGAGAATGCTTTTCTCAGGGATATCTCTTAGTAATTGAGACAAGATACTCAGGCATGTGTTTCTGTTGGATTGACCCTTTTTACTCTCTTTTCCCAGTTCTTTCTTCCCCCTCTCTCATACAAGGGAAGTGGGGCAGTAAGAAGGAACTGGAGATGGGAAGAGCATGGAGCTGGCTCTTCCCCGGAGAA